GGCTTCCCCTATGTGCTCATGCATGCATTTATTGAGTGTCTCCTGATACTTGCTCTGCCTAGAATAAGGTTCACCTCAGAAATCTAGCCTTGCATTTAGAGAATTTGTTCTTTTGTCCAACAAGTATTTATTGAGCTCTCATGTGCCAGACAACCTCAAAAAAACTCAGACTTATTGCCATCCACGCAGAACCTGACTCATCCTAGCTGACCCTCAGGCAAGTTTTCAGAGGCTGCAAATAGCACAGGAGAGAACGTCTATCTTTCTCCCTCAGAGCAGCTGATGGATTCGAACCACATCCCTTTTTTTGATGAGTAGCACAGCTCCTGCCTGAGTAGGCCACCGTATTCTTGGACTGTATAAGTGAACAAAGCAAAGCCTCTGTCCTTTTGGAGCTTATATTGTAACACAGATGCAGACAAATACTAGGCAGAATACCTTGTCAAAATCATGGCATCATTTTGAAAGTGATAAATGATATGAGAAAGGAAGAGTAAAGTGGGAGGAGGTCAGGTATGGGGATGAGGGACATCATTTTAAATGGAGGATCTTGGGAAGTTTAAACGACATTGGAGACAAGCCCTCAATGAGATGAGGGAGAAAGGCATGGGACTCCCGGAGAAGCACCTTCCTAGGGAGGAACAGCCAGTGCAAAGGCCCGGAAGTGAGGGTGTGCCTGGAATGGAGGGAGCTGGGTGGAAGGTAAGGATGCAGTCAGACATGGCGGCAGGGACAACAGATCAATTTAAGCTCCACAAATTTGGGTTTTTACTCTGAGTGAAGCCGGGAGAGCCATTGGAGGGTTCTGAGCAGAGAACCTGTATGATGTGACTTAGATTTTAACAAGCTGCTGGATTCAAAGTAGACTGATGTGTAATCATCCAAATGATGGTAGTTTGGACCAGGGTGGAGTAAAGGAGATGAGTCCTAGGTTTGTTTTGAAGTAGAATTTTTAGAGAGTAGTTTGGGACACATGATAAAGGTAATAGAGTAAATAAACTTGACCATAGTATAATTGGGGGAGTCCAAAATACTCACTCCAGTAATGTATGACATAAAAGAGCTTGCATTTTCTATTTGGGTCTCTGCTGTCACAAAAATTACAGAAGTAACTATGTTGTTGCAGTTCACTGCCATTAAGTCAGAACCAACTGAGAGCTACCCCCTCAATGAGTCAGAAGCAGTAAATCATAATCCTAAAGGAAGAGACTTCACATCTTTCTTCCACGGAACAGCTGATAGATTAGAACCATATGCCTTGATTGGGAGCACAGGTTCTTATCTCTAGGCCACCAGAGCTCCCTGAAATAATGTTGGTTTTGTGTACTGTCGAGTTGGAACCAACTCATAGGTGATCCTCCAGTGAGTTTTCAGAGGCAATAAATTGCACAGGAGAGAACCATTTTTCTCACTTAGAGCAGTAAGTGGATTTGAACTGGGTGCTTTTAGGATGGCAGTGCAACTCCTTCTTATTAGACCACCAGAGACTATAATGGGACTTGCAGTGTACATAGCTGTAGCTCACTAAATTGTTGTCACGAGGCTGCCACTTCTAAGCCTCTCATTTTGGAGGATGGGAAGAACTTCAGTCTGCTTCCATTTCAAAACACAGCAGGAGCAGATCTAAACGTGGTAGCTCCTAGTTTGCATTTATCGTAGGGTGTTTTTATCACAGGCTTTTCTGGAGCCTGTCAGCATATGGTTGTTGGTATTGCACTGGCAATTGCTTAAACCAGAATGAAAGGTACAGACCATTAGTAGGAAAAAATAATAAAATTAAAAGAGAAAAAGGTTGTGTGAGCTGGAGAAGAAAAAACTGTGTGAAGAAAGGACTGAAGAATTGAAATAGGCAGGAGGCGAGAGGAAAGGCGTCCCTGGCAAGGCAAACAGCATGAGCAAAGGCGGTAAGGAATCGACTTGGATAGCAAGAAAAGAGAGCTGGCCAAACCCAAGACAACATTGTTAGATAAGAAGATTTGAAGGCCAGACTGCCCTCGTCCAGCAGGCAGTGGGGAGTCATTGATAGTCAAAGGAAGTGGCAGTGTCTCCATAGTGAAAATTAATCTGGTCACTGTAGAGGGAATCATTAACGGTGCAGAGGCCCTTTTGAACAAATAGGGGTATCAGTGGTAGGTAGGCTTTAGCGAAAAGGTGGTAAAGCAGGTTGGAACGGCTGGATTTTAGGTGGTGATGAGAATTCCAATCGAGGGTGTACTAGAGAAGAGTTTTTCAAAGTACCCCTGAATATTTGCCCTGTGGTAAGGTGGCCCTGGAAGTAGTAAGAGAGCTCATGCCCAAAGCAGGTATTGTGATGTGATGGTAAGTCGAGTACAACTCTTAGGAACAACAGATCTGAATCCTCTCCTATCCTGTGCCATCCACCTCATCTCCGACATACTTGAGCCCAGTGCTGCAGTCACTGTGTCGTTCTATCTCATTAAAGGTTGTCTCCTCTTTCACTGACCCTCCCTCTACCTTTCCAAGCATGACATTAAGACATAGTCAATCTTGTGTATCCCTTTCCCAGGTTGGTGTACACAGGAAGGACTGTGAGACTTTGTTTAAATCAACAAATCCCAAATGTATCTGACCATATTTTGCTGATCTCTGAACCAATGGTTAAGACTACAATTTGGGAAATTATGCCCGTCTGGGAAGAGAAAATCCCAGCATTGAGTAAGGTCCAAACTTGAGATGGTTCGGAGACTCCATGATAAAAGTAACCCATGAAACATAGAATAAAACTTCAAAACCTGAATACAGGGCCCCATGGAAATAACAGAACCACCAAGAAGGCTCAGCACTATAGCCAGAGGCAATACTCAGGAAAGGGAAGAAATCCTAGTCTGAGGCTGGTTCCCTCCACCTAAAACCTTTGTTTTTTCTCTTGGCCTCTCCCAAGTCCTTGACATCCCTCAAGGCTTGACTTCACTTCTCCAAGAAAACGTTTCCCTCTCTAGGTCACAGTGCCCTTCCTTGTCACTCCTGTGACATTTCCCTGCCCATTCCCCTGATGTTTGCATGATGCATTAGGCCCTCATTTAGGCTATGATTAGCAGAATAGATGCTCAGTACATATTTGTCAATTAGGTGGATGGGTGGATGAGTGGATGAAGGCAGATATAGAGGGCATTGCAGTGAGAACTGAAGAGGGGTCAAGAAGGGTGAAAGTGAAGAAGATTCCTGCCAGATGCCTGGGGAACAGGCCTTGAGGCAGCAGCCCCCACCTCACAGCAAGCAGGTGTACAGCTCCTTTACAGACAGTAAACAGATGGGGACCTGGTGAACCAGGAGAGGCTTGAGGCTCCACAGGGCCGATTCTGGCAGTAGGTGGTCAGTACCCAGGCATTGGGATATTCAATACATATTTATTGGGAAGCTGCTCGATGACCTGCACGTGAGGAGGACACTGTGGTGACAAGGGGGAAGCTGAGCTTTCAGTGGTTGTGCTTCTCTCTTGCCAACTCCTGTGTGTGGAATGACCAGAAACGAAGCACTGGGTGGTCTCAGCTCAGTCACGTGACCTTGGGCAACCTGCTTTCCCTTCTTTGGGCCCTAGAGTTTTACTCCAGGAAGACCTTTCCTGGGCTCTTTGAGAATCTCTACCCTGCCCCAGTCTGGCACAGATAAGCAGATCACACACACATACACACACACAGACGTACTCAGCTCCACCTTTGGGAAAAGGGGAAGGGCTGCTAGGAGGAGCTGAGTTCTGATGAAGTGAGTGATGCTGAGTCAGGGAGTGAGCTGGCAGGAACGGGCTCCCTGGGGCCGGAACATATACCCAAACTTAGCCTTCTACCTTGGCCTGGAGAGAGAGGGGAGAAACATTCTGATTAGCTTGTGGGCTTGCCCTCAAGACCTGCTGACCTGGACTCAAGGCCAGCCACAGGCCATGGTCTCCGGTGCCCCCCTGTGGTAATGCTGGGAACCACCTCCCCTAGCCTTGCCTTGGCACCCCTTTTTACCCCTTTGGTCTCTGATAATGACTTCAGCCCCCTTCCCAGGCCAGAACAGAACTCTGACCAGCCCCACTAGCAAAAGAGGTTGCCCACTTCGCCTTCTCTCCACCCCCACCTGCTACCTCTCCCGCCTGCTTGTCTCCACTCTCTCCTCAGTACACAAGTATTTGTACACCCACATTCAACACACAATGACCTGAGGTGTAAGCCCCACATTGTTCTCTTGTATGTACTTGTGGATACTGCCTTTGCAGGGTCACACATGCTTTCACACCCACTTTCTTCCCTGCCCATTCTGAACCTGCACCTCGCAATACTGGGTGTCTTCTGCTGGCAGCATCCTGACCACACCTTGCCCTGCAGGACCAGACTGAAGCCAAGAACCACAACCCTAGTTTCTTGGCACTTGATTGACAGGGTACCGTCTTCCTGTGCCCAGGGGGCAAGCAAAATCAGATGTAGAGCACCCAGCCCCTCCAGGCTTAATGTGAGTCTAGGAAACCAGGAATAGAGCCAAGTGTCGGGGCCCAGGGCCCACTGGATGTTGGTGACTTTGCACAAGCTTGAATCCTTGCCTGTGTGGCTTGGGCGAGCTGTTTAGCCCTCTAAACCTCACCTTCTCATTAAATGGAGATTTTGGTATGCTTAGCTAGGAGGGTGCCGGGAGGTTGCATGGCGGCAGTGTTGTGCAGGACATGCTGTCTCGGGGTTTAGGACGGTGCTGACAGATGCCCCTTCGAACCTTCCATAGGCTGAGCTGTGCTGGCAGCTCATCCAGGAGCAAGTTGGGTGGAAAGCAGTTCTTCTGCCTCTCTCTTCGGCCTTTGGCTCCACATACCACCATTGTGCCTCCGAGGGGCTGCTGGAGAGGGGTCTGGGGGCTCAGGACCGACGCCGCTCAGCCTCATGGTGCGTGGGCACGGCCTGCCCTGGCGCTTCCCACCCACTTCCTAGCCTTTCCTCCCCTGTCTCCCTGCCGCCTGCCCCAGACGCAAGCACTGACACTGTCCCCCTCCATCTCTTTTCCTCATCCAGAATTTCCCTACACCCCGTCTCCCTCGGAACACGAGCGGCGCGCAGGGCCGGTGCCCACGGCCATCATTGGGGGCGTGGTGGGGAGCGTGCTGCTGGTGCTGATCGTGGTCGGCGGCATCGTGGTGGCCCTGCGCCGGCGCCGGCACACCTTCAAGGGCGACTACAGCACCAAGAAGCACGTGTACGGCAACGGCTACAGCAAGGCGGGCATCCCCCAGCATCACCCCCCCATGGCGCAGAACCTGCAGTACCCGGACGACTCAGACGACGAGAAGAAGGCCGGCCCGCTGGGGGGCAGCAGCTACGAGGAAGAGGAGGAGGAGGATGGCGGAGGGGGTGACCGCAAGGTGGGCGGCCCCCACCCCAAATATGACGAGGACGCCAAACGGCCGTACTTCACGGTGGATGAGGCCGAGGCCCGTCAGGACGGCTACGGGGACCGGACTCTGGGCTACCAGTACGACCCCGAGCAGCTGGACTTGGCTGAGAACATGGTTTCTCAGAACGACGGGTCTTTCATTTCCAAGAAGGAGTGGTACGTGTAGCCCCTTTGCCCCCCAGAGCCTCTCGTCTGCACCCACTTCCCCCAGCCCCCACCCGCACGCCCCCCACCCAGCGCCCCTGGCCCACTCGAGAGCTCTGCAGACCCTTGGCGCCGCCCCGAGCCCGCCCGGACTCCCGGGGAGCGAGGGCGCCCAGGGCGGACGTGTCCTGCCTTGGTTTTTTATTTCCTCCCACTCCCCACCCTGCCCCGATGGTGTTGTGTTCACCTGTGGCTTTGGTGTTGCTGTACCTTTCTCTTCCCGCCCCACCCGCCTGCCCTCTGTGCAGGGAGCCCTGCTCTCGTCTTGTGTTCCTGGGCATCCCTCCAGGGTTTGGGGAGCCAGCCCTCCCCGCCCCCAACACTGGAATATGTTTGTATTCTCCTCTTTGCGGGTGAAGGGCAAAAGGGGCTCCACCTAGAAAACCCCTGCTCCACCCCAACATGCTGCTGCTCCTTTCCCAGGGAGATGGGTCCATTCCCCTACCACACACGGACGCATCCAGGATTGGACCCTTGGTCTAGACAGCAGTCGTTCCCCCGAAGTGGGGGTGGGAGAGGAGGTTTGTCAAAACCTCTAGGGGAGTCCAGTTTGCTAAGTGATCAAGCTGAGGTCTCACCTGGGGCCTTGGGCAGTTAGTTGCTGGTGAGGTTGATTTGCCTTTTTTTCCCCCCCCTCATTGACCTACAGAGTTAAGTTGGCCAGACTCTGAAATGTCCCACCTCTTACAGCCTCCCCATCTGCCCCCATAGTGATGGGGCTGCAGGGGGTCTTCCGCTTGCAGTTCCTATCCACTTCTCTACACACACACACACACACACACACACACACACACACACACACTCCTGGCCACCCTGCCCTCCCCTGGGGTTACATGCCTTACCCAGGCTGACACTGCCCAAGGTTCACCCTCTGCACCACCTCTTCACCCTTCCCAGCTGATAGTGGGGGTAGCCTCTAGAAGCTTCTAGGGCAGCTAGGATTGGGTCCTCTGGTGCCTCTGCCCTAGGATCTCAGATCTAGCCCCAAACTGCCTCTTACAGCACAGAAGTTTCTTGAATTTTTCCCTTATTTATCAAGTGCTACCAACTCTTGATTCTGCTGGGGAAGATAGAAATCAGGACTGAGACCCCAAAAGGGAAGGACCACAAAGAGTTTAAGATGAAGTGTCATGTAGAAGACATGGAGAAGGGAGTCCCAGGGGAGAAGCCCCGCACTGCCCAAGACACTCCGATGGGCTTGGGTGAGGAGACTTACCCTTGCACACATGTGTGCCAAAGGAGATGTGGTGGGCTTAGCAGAAAGGGTGGGGGCGGGGGGAGCCAGGGATCCTGAGTCAGAACCTTCTTCTTAGCCACAGTCCATTACCTGCTCAGATGTTCCTGGTCCCCATTCTGGGATGTAGGGGAGGACTTTGGAGAAGGCTTCCCTTTGAATGCAGAGTCCCCTCCTTGGATGGGACTTGGGGTGCCCTGTTAGTCACCCATGACTTGGGCTTCCCAGGCTGTTGAATGAAGGAAGGCTACCTCCCAGCCCTCTCTGTAACCCCACCTCAAAGTGCCTCAATTCCTCCACCTGCCCACCAGCTCCTCCAGCACTCCAGAAGGGCATACTAGTGGGGAAAGCCCTGGGGTGGGAGAGACAGGCTTCACAGTCCCACTCTTGCCTGTCCACCAGAACGCCAATTCACTCTGTCCAGGTGTCAAAGGCTCTCTGGGATGGCAAGTGCTGGGGGAAGGGAGGCAGAACTCTGTGTGCCCCACGGGCACAGCCCTGCCCTACCACAGGCTTCCCTAGGGAGCTACCCACCCACCCCACCCACCCTAGTCTTCTCCCCTGGTGCTGCTACTGACACTCCAGCCAGCTCCATCTCTGCCCTGGCAAGCTTGGGCCCACCTGCTGGACCACCCTTGCCCTAGCCCCAGCCAGGCTGCCCAGTAGCCACATAGCAGAAGTCTGAAGCCATGCTAGCCCCAGGATGGCTCTCCCCTCTTTGCACTGTGGGTACTAGATGGGGTAGAGTTGAGGGAGGAGATTTGGGGGCTTTCTAGCCATAGGGCAGAGAGAAGTGGAGGAGCTCAACCCAGAGAACCCCCCTGGGCTGCTCCTCCCAACAGTATTAGTGTTTCCCCTGACAGGGCAGAGGATCCTTTCCATGTTACATTACTGCCCCATGCCACTCATGTCACCTCTTTGGTCCCCTCATCCTTAGGCAGAAGGGAATTCCAGGGGCCTGCCTGATAGAGGCATTCCCTCTCCTCTTAAAACCAGGAGGCTGAAAGGACTCCTCCTTCTGTGTCTCCTGACCCTGCTGTCACCCTTGCTTTTCATCTTTGATGGACTTAGGAGGCCCCTGGGCCCAGCCAAAGCACTGAGTCCCCCTTTGGACACCTCCACACCCTCTCCCCAAAGCAAAGCACAAATTGTGGGGCCCATGTAGCTCGACCACACTGGTAGCTCCTGCCTCTCCAGGAGCCCAACAGCAGTAAGCCCACCTGGACAACTGCTGCCTTGACCAGGGGCAGATGGCAGCAAGCAAGGTAAGCACAGGCTTCCTCTTGCTTACTTATTCATCTGTAGTGAGCAGTTTCACATGGGTTTCAGAAACACTGAAACTGGTCCCTACCGCACAAGCAAGCCCATGCTTACCTGGCTTGTTGGGTCATGCCCTGTGCTAAGGGTGGGCATGGAACAGGAGCTAGAAAGAAGGGGTTTTCTGTGCCCCAAGTTCATGAGAGAATGGACATTGTTACTGGACCCACAGACACAGCCAGCGGCCCAGCCAGCAGCAAAGGGGAGGCCTGGGGATGAGGCAGAGGGGGAGGATGAATTGCCGCTCCTTCACACCCACAGCTTATCCTGCTGCTGGAAATGAGCTGAACTTGGTATATTAACTGTGCCAAGGCTTTCCCTGTTGTATCCTGCCTCTTGTTGCCCTCCTGTTCTCTGTCCCTCTTGGTCCACATCCCTATTTCCTTACAGATTTTGATACTGTCCTAAAGTATAAAGGAACACCAGAGTCCCTTTTCCCAGAAGGATCTGGAAAGCAGTAGCACGGAGTCCATGCATGCACACCAGCAGAGGCAGCCCCTCGGCACAGCTCTGCACACAATGGGCTCACACGTAGCCTCACACAGTCACCTCACACAAGCTCGCATGCTCAGGGCACAGCTACACAGGCACACAGAGGGGCAGGCTTGAGCGTGCCGAAGCCCCTGAGAACCCAGGATGTCCCAGTACAGGCCATGGGTAAGACACAGACCACTTAGCCCAGGTGTGCGCCTCCTCTGCCAACCACATTGATGTGCCCAGGTCCCTGTGCAATAATCCCTCTCCCATCCTCAAAGTAGAGGAAAGCGGGAATTGTGTTAAAAATAGGCAAGGACCAGGGCCTGTGTGGGCAGCTCACCTGAGCTAACTGGTCGGAGATGCCCCATCTTTTGTTCAGACCATGGTCGTCTGGGTGTCCGGATGAGTTCTTCAAAGACTGATGCCCCTCTGAGTCCTCCACACCCAAAAGGGGAACTGCTCTGGCCCCACAGCAGGGAAGGAGGGACAAAGGCCTCTGCTGGGCCTGACTGAAAGGCCAGGGGGTGCCCTCCCCGGCCCCCACCGGTGCTGCTGCCTTCTCACCCCTGCTGTGAGGACCGGGACTCATTTTTGTATAAAAAGGAAACAAAATCTAGGAGAAGCTGCCTCCCCTCACCTCTGAGCGTGACCCTTTGCTTCAGTTTCTTTGTCATGGTTTCGTCTTTGGTCCTGGGGACTGCCTGGCAGATTCTCCCGGTTCTGACCCAGGGGGTGTTTGAATCACCCCCTTTTACTTGTATAAAAAAAGATATGGGTTAAAAATGTACTGAGGAAAAAAAATGTACTTTTTTATAAATAAAGTGTTTAAAACAAACCTGAGTGTCATGCCTCCTGCCTCCCCACTGTGGCCCTTCTCAACTGAGGCTTTGGGTGTGGGTGGATAAAGCTGGCCTACAGGCCCTCACAGCAAGGAAGTAAGGGGAAGGGGCCCTGGATGCATATACCATGTCCCATGTCTCGGTGATAGTGACAAGGAACCCCATGACCTCATCTTTCCAGAACCCTCAAGGAGAAGAGAAAACCCCACTCAGCTTGGGGGAAGACACAGATGGAAATCTCTCTGTTGGTGTGTGCTGGCAGTCAGGGGAGGCTTCAAGGAAGAGAGCTGGAAGAGGAGAAGGGGGAGGGCACTGCCTGGCTGGGAAGAAGGTATCCCTCCCCTCCTTTAACTCAAGCCACTGTAAGGCCACCTGCCTGCCCCAAGCTGAGGTCCTCCATCTCCCTACTCCCCTTGTCCTTCCTGTCTGCTGCTCCTCACCACGTCCCCTCCTGTGGCTGTTTGAAGAAGCCTAGCAGTGCCACACCTGTCATGTTTAACAGGATCCCTGGGGACAGAAACAGGCCCTATCCTTTTATCTCTATTTCCAGAATGCTTCAGGGCCCCCACCCTGGCAAGTTCTGAGATCCCACCACACCTCTCTGGAGCTAGAGGGAGGGGTCGTTGCACCCCCCCATCCGCACACCAACACCATCTGCTTCTCATCTCCTGAGCAGGAATGCAGGACAAATTGATCCTGGGGTGGGAGTGGCAGGGGCTTCGGTTACTGCCCCCTCCCAGCTACCCCCGGTAGCATCTCCTTTCACTGAAATCCACACCAGGGACCCCTGGGAAAGTGGGGGCAGCTGAAAGCCATGGCGGCTGCTTAGTAGAAAACCCTACTGCCCATCTGGAGAGAAGCCACATCCTCCACACCTAGGATTGGGGCAGAATGGAAGGGTGGGTGCAGCAGAAGATGACAGCTGTTAGCAGCTGGCTGGGTTCGCCACAGGCCAGCCAAACCTCCCCACGCCCAAGACAGGGCTGTGTTTCGATGTTAGTTTTAGAATGAGATGCAAATTGATCATTTAGGCGGTCACTTCCTCAGTTTTTCAGGCTGTCCGTTTAAGTTAATTTTTAATTTGCGCAAGCAATA